AAGAGAAATCAGCTTAATCCTAAGAATGGGCCCTAATGAGGTCAAGCCAAATTTGTGACATGAGGGAACTGGAGGACCTGGCAGGTGGTGACGAGTGCCTATGGCCTATATCAAAAGTCATTGTCATGGGTATCTGGCTCATGCAAACTGCTAAATTGCTCAGAGCAGTATAAAAAGTGACATCTGTGATTACTATAAAGAGACAGCCACCGAAGAAAATAACTGAGGCTGTGATAGACAGGCTGTTTTTTTGATACCAGGGACACCACAGCCTGAAAACACACCCCAAGAGAAAAATCAGCACACATCAGAGATGGGGAACAAGAACCAAGGGTTGGCTGTAAAGGCAAGTGTGTGCAATCTTTAAGAAGCTGGGAAGAGAGAGGGGATGGAAGAGGAGCAGAACTGTATAGGCCTTAGTGTGCCCAGGGCCTGTCAAAAACCCTCAGGGTGTCACTCCTTAGGGTGGAGTTTCCAAGACTCCCAAACACCTGCAGCCACTGCTGACCCTAGGATGGACTTTTCATATTCCCATCAGTTCTTGTGGCTTTTTTTGTTGATGTCTTGTGTTATGAATGTTTTACCAACACTGTGAGCACCATCTCTTATAGGACTTGGAGTTCAGGCTTTTACTCTGCTTTCAGGAAGGCTGGGCACTGTGAGCTCTGCATTTTCCCAAGAGAGGAAGCACCTGCTGTAACCTCTAAATCAGGCCTCTGAGGATAAATGAGCTCAGTAACTGTGAGTCCTATATGTGTGTTCCTGGATTTGGAAACCTTGAAAAAGCTTCGAGCACCCCATGCTGTGCTTTAAAAATCATTTGTAGTTTATTCACTACTTGTGGTAAGTATATACTACAATATATGGTTTTAATTTTCATTGTGTTCAGTCTCAAAATAATTTGATAAGAACAATAGCTAATATACTGTCATGACTACAGGACTTCATCTCTCAAAAAGGCTGACAAAATTACTCAGAGCACAATTCATTTTCCCAACAAACTCTTCATTCAAAGCAGAAAAAAAGTTTAAAGATTACTTCACAATAAACAAAGTGAAATTATTATTATACATGTTAGCAATGAGCCTGTGCCCTAAAGAGCAAAACGTAAGGCAGTTGTTCAGAAATTAGGAGAAACTTGAAATAATTTCCCACATTACATTTCAATAGTTCAATA